GCGGCCGTTGGCGGAGTTGCGGAGGCGTGGCCGCGGCCTCGCGCGCCGCGAGCCCGGAGGGCGCCAGCACTTGGCGGCCGCGCCGTACGGCGAGAACATGGGGGACCGCGGCGGAGCGGGAGGCTCCCGGCGTCGGAGGACGGGTTCGCGCCACTCGAGCCAGGCAGCGGAAGAGGAGGCGCGGGACGCGCCCGCGGGCCCCGACGTGGGCGCCGGGGGGGACGCGCCGCCGCCGGATCCGGACCAGCCGCGGGTCGCCGCCGTGGGCAGCAGCCCCCGGGAGCTCAGGTAACCGTGACCCTGACCCCTGACCTCTGGTCTACCTTCAGGGCCTGGGCTGCGGCCGCCCTCCCGACCCCCCGCAAGCTGCAGGAGCCGCGCGCGCTCCGAGTCCGAGAGCCTGACCCGGGACTTGGGGACTTGGCGTGGACCGTGTTCCCCTCGAGTCCCCGCGGGGAAACCGAGCCCGGGGAGGTGACCTGCCAAGGTCACCCAGCGGAGGCTCCAAGCCGAGGGGAGCCGGGTGGCAGCCCCGCCTCCAGACCCTGCGGGCTGTGCACCCTCAGGTGTGTCGTGGGGCTCCTGCTGGCGCCTTGGCGGGCTGGCTGGGCGCCCTGCCCAAGGCTCCCTGGGTGGCGGAGACAGATGGAGTTATGCGGGTTATGGGCAGTGTCTCGAGGGGCAGGGACGACTCCGGAGGAGGGCAGCGTGGTGGGGAGGGAGCCGCAGGTGTGCAGGTGGAGGGAAGGTGTCTTGTCTCCCCAGGACAGAGACAGCCCCGACAGCAGGGGCTCCGGAGCCTGGAGCATCGTCTCCACATGGCGCCCCTACTTGCCTGGACACCCCTCGTGGAGTGCCTAGCTCTCCGGGTGGCAGGACAGCTTTGGGTCCTGTAGCGGTCCTCCCGTCCTGGCTGAGCTGACGCGAGCGACTGGGGGCATGAGCCTGCGCTCCATCTGGCCAGGTGGTCCACCCTCAGCACCCCTGTGGCCTTTGCCCTGGCCTCGGGGCCCTCGGGGCTCTGGCTTAGGGAACAATTGAAAGGAGAGAGATTATCAAGGAGGAAGTGGTGATGGGTCAATCTGTTGGCAGGGGTTTCTTCTCTTGAGTAAGCGGGACCTGCGTCTTTCGCCAGGCCGTGTGGGTGGGGTTGCGGGCACACCCTGGAGCTGAGGACACAGGCACTGCCCCTGCCTTCGGGGTGCTCACAGTCCACCTGGGAGATAAGATAGCCCCAGATAATGGCAGGCACAGCCTGCGAGCAAAGGTCGGGAGGGAGGTCGGGTAGGCACCCTGGGGCTGGAGATGTGGCTCTTCTGAGAAGGTTGTCCTTTTTGTGGCCCAGGCCTGGGGGTGCTGAGGGGCCAGCCCAGAACCTCCTGCCTGGGACAGAAGTTCCTGGTGTTCTTCTCCAGGAGGCGAGGAAGGGCCAGTGCGCCCTCAGGAGGGGGTAGCCGTTGGGGGCCTCTGTGTGCCGTGGGTCCCAGTGTTGGGCAGAGCTGACCCCCAGGAGAGGGACGCAGAGCAGTCACTTTGGTGCTTTGCTCCCAATCGGCTTGCAAGCCTTTCCTGTGCTCCTGGTGTGGGGCTGGGGTGAGGCCAGGAGAGAGGGGCCCTGGGGAGCTCGCCGGTGGCCACCGTGGGGCTGGGACTGGCCAGGTCTGTGTGCTTGTCCCTCAAGTCTTGCCCTGGCCGCCCTCCTGGGTGTAGCCAAGCTGCTCCCTTCCCGGCACCCTTCCCGAACCTGTCCCCTCCTCTTCCTCATGACTCCCCGAGATCTGGGCCTCCTCCCCTCCCCTCCCTTGGGGCTTCCTGCTCCTCTGCTTGCTTTGGGCTGCACAGGGGTTCAGCTCCTTTCTTCTGGCCGTGGTGAGGTGAGGCTGAGGGGCAGAAGGAAGGGGCCTGCTTACCGCTCTGTCCCGCAGCCCACTCCTCACAGGCTCTGCACCATCCAAGGTGGACCCCACCAGGGTGTCTGTGCCCAGGAAGGGGCTGCTGGGAGAGAGGTGGATTGCCGCCTCCATACCGCACTGTGCCTTGGCCCTGTCTGGTCTCCATACTTGGGGCAGATTTTGAACCTTGTCATACCTTGATGTGCCCTGGTGTGCGTGGGGACAGTGGTGCCTACTTACAGTGTTGATGTGGGATCAGATGAGATGACGAGGGTGTGGGCAGGGCCTGTGGGTGGCCTGGGAGCTGGATGGCTCTGGCCTGAGGGCTATTCTGGACCTGGCCTCTGGGAGTCTCAGTGGGTGGGGACCCTGGCAGGTCCTGGGGTGGAGGAGAGGTGGCAGCAACGGCTCTGGCATGCCGGCCTGATCTGGCCGCCCCAGGGGCTGGCATCCTTGCCTGTTGCCCTCTGGTTCACCTGCAGCCGACCACATGGCAGTCGAGCCTCTGCGGACCTGAGAGAGGTGGGCTTCCTCCCAGGCGGCCAGGGGGTGGCATGGAAAGCCCACCTCAGGGTCTTACACAGACTCTTATAGAAGGGGGGATTGGGGAAAGCTTTGATGACGTTGTCTGATTGTCTCCCACCTTCAAGACAGCCAGGGAGAAGGGCAGCACAGCCTGGGGGCGTGGGGACAGGGGTCAGTGGCTGTGAGCAGCTCTTGAGCACGCTGCCTGAGAAGGCCAGCCCAGGGTTTGCAGGAGAGTCCTGGGGAAACGTAGGAATGGGCTTGAACTGGGAGATGGGGGTGGGGCAGCGGCAGGCCTGGGGCAGGTCCAGGGAGACTGTCCCCACAGGACAGGTGGACCTCGCACCTGCTTATCTCTGGGTGCTGGTGGGCAGGGCACCCTCCTGAGCAGGGTGGGAGCCGTGTTAAGGGCCAGTGGTCAGTTGGAGATGTATCTGCAGACGAGGGAGGGTTCAGGTGGGACTGGTCTGGTCCAGGTGGGAGTTACATCCTCACTGGGTGGCCCAGGACCCACCTGGGGGAGGGAGCAGGGGAGAGACCTGGGAGAGGCTGGGTGAGGGCTAGAGGGTCTGCCCCAGGCTGGTGCTTTGAGAAGTGCCTGCCAGTGCAGCACTGTGATGCCCTGGTGGGGGTGCTTGGTGAGGTGGTGCGGGTGAGGGTGAGGGGGCCAGGCTAGGGTAGGGGGCGCTGGAGGAGGCAGACCGTGATGTGAGAGGGCAGAGGTTGCTCCTTGTCACCACCTTGGTGGCTGGCTGGGGAGCGCCCCACCTATGTTGGCCTCCACAGCTGCCTCTGGGGCACTGAGCTGAAGGCACACCCCCTCCCCAGCGCTGCTGCCCCGTGCCCCAGCCCTGAGCTCCCACCTGGAGGGAGAAAGGGCTCTGCTTTGTCCTCTCACAAAACTAGAGGAGGAGCCCTTGCTCAGTGCCTCACTGGGGCTTGTCTGCCGCTTTCCTGGGGAGAAGCAGCTGTGGGCGGGAGGTGCTGGGGCAGCTGTGTGGGTACCAGGGTTGCGGTGCCTCCCTGGGCCAGGCTCTCCTCCTTCAGCCCCTTCCAGGGATGGAGGGTCCTTGTTGGGGGACCTGAGCCCTAGCTCAGTCGCTGGTGTCCAGGTTGGGCTCAGCCTCTAGAGGTGTTTCCAGCACTGGGGGACACATCCCCCCACCGTTTGACCAGGCCAGTCCGTGATTTTCAAGACAACTTGAGAAAAACAGTGACGTGGGCGGCCAGAGCTCGGGGCGAGGTCCCACCCAGGGAGATGGCTGGCAGCCTGAGCAGAGGGGACAGAGGCGCTGCTGGGAGGAGGTGGGGTGAGTGGCTGAGCAAGGCCACAGGCTCTCTATGGCTCCAGCACCCCCGTGAACCAGCGTAGGGCAGCAGCCAGAGGCCCCGAAAGCAATGCCAGGGACCCTGAGGTGCCTACCACCCACAAAGCCTGGGCTCCCGTGTTCTCCTGCAGCCTGAGGAGCAGGCCCGTGGTGGGGCCAGAGCTCTGCCTGCTGTAGGCCAATGGCCCTTCTCTGGTGCGTACCACCATCTTCCTCCAGGTGCCAGTGGGGTCCCAGGTCCTGGGTACGTGGGCCAAGAGAACATTTGGGGTAGATGTGTGTACCTAGACTGGTGGCGCAGGACAATGGGCTCAGCCCAGAGACTGGGCTCGGTCTTGTACCCCGAATCTTTCAGCAGTGCCTGCTGAGGAGTCCCTGGGCTTGGTGGTGACAGAGGTGTGTGGTGGCCCTGCCACCTCCTTTTGGAGGTGCTCAGTGCCAGAGTCAGGGCAGCCCAGAGGACCCATGCCCTTACCAGCTGTCTTGTCTCCTGCCCTGCCAGCTGCCACCGCCTGCAGGAATCCTTGTTCAGCTCTGACAGTGGCTTCAGTAACTACCGTGGCATCCTGAACTGGTGTGTGGTGATGCTGGTAAGTGGGCCCCCGGTCATGCCTGATGCCAGTGAGTGGGGCTCCTGGACGCATTGTGGGCCACCTGCCCAGGCTCTGTGAGGCATGGAATGGGGCTGGGGTACAGGCCGTGGGAGCACACGGGCTGGGCGGGGAGAGGACTCAGCAGCTATGCCTACAGCAGCCACGTGCAGGTTCCACGGGCTGACACGTAACCTGCCTTCCTCTTGAACCTGGAAGCCCTGGAGGATGAAAGCCTGTGTGCTGTGAGCTGAGCCTGTGGGGCACAGGGCGTCCTCTGGGGGGGACTTTGCAGGGCAGCTGTGGGTCCATGGAGACAGGCTGATCTGGAACAGGGACAGGGAGGGGACAGGCTTGGTGATGGCCAGGGAGGTGACCCTGACTGAGGATGACTGTGGGGCTGATATGGCCAGGGGTTGGGTACAAGGCCTCCCTGGCATGGGTCTGAGGGCCCAGGCAGTCAGCCTGGGAGAGCAGAGTTGTGAAGATGGTACTGCTCTAGCCACCCAGGTCCCAGCTCCGTCCCCAGTGCCCACACCCTAGCCTGGGCTTAGGAGGCCCTGAAGTATGGCAGGTGGGTAGAGCCCTGGCCTAAGCCTGTGGCCCAGGCTCTGTGGTAAGTGTCTTGGCAAGCTGGCCCTCAGTGGGACCAGGAAGCCATTGGCATCCAGGGCTTTGAGGGCAGGGAGGACCCACAGCAGTTGCTCAGGGCTGATCTAGCCTGAGGCTGTGACCCTGCCCAGATGTATCAGGTCTGCTCTTGGGCAGGGTGCCTGTCACCACGTGTGGGGATGGACCCCCCAACCCCCCTGCCACCTGAGGACTCACTCAGTTGAGGTGGGGGTCATGTAGCCTGGTGGGGCAGTGATGTGTCCCTGGCCCTCTGGAGGCTGTTCGTAGCCCTGGGGTGGCTCTTCAGGAGGTGGTGAGGCCAGGGAAGGCCCTGCTGCCAGCCCTGTGGGTCAGCCTGTCTCTGTGGGCAGCCCCATAGCCTTGCCTTTCACATGGTCGCCCTGCCCAAGGGGTAGAGTGCAGTCTGTGTTGTGCTGGGCTCCCACTGCCCCATGGTGGCCTGGGCTTCAGGGTGTGCCACCACTGGCAGTGCTGGCTCCCACCTGCTGTGGGTCCACTACCAGGTGGTGACTGGGCCCTGTGTGTACCTGGCAGAGGTGGGTGGAGCAGCCCTGCTGGTGGCCCTGCGGATGTCTTAGCTTCCCCCCTTGACCCTCCAGTGATGGTCACTACAGTGGCCCCTTGCCATCCATCATGGGCTGGGTTCTAGGGGTCAGGCAGGCACCTCCATTAGGAGGTGCCAGAGGTGCTCATGGGCTGGTGAGGTTTCTGTCCCCGCGGAGGCCAGGCACCCCTGGCTCCAGCTGGAATCAGGATCTGCTTAGGATGGGGACGTAGGTCCTTGGAAGCTGTTTTGGGACCAGGTGCCTAGGTGTGGATACTGCTGGCAGCAGCTGAAGCAGAGCAGGGGACATGAGCAGCTCTCTGCCACGTCCCCCCTCTGCCCTCAGTGTCCAGGGTCTCTTGCTGTAGCCTCTTGTCACACTGGTGGGAGGATGCATGCCCATGACCGCTGTCCATCTCTGTCTCGTGTGCCCTGGGCAGGGAGGTGTCCTCCCACTCCTCAGCTGAGGCCACCAGGAGGGTCTGTCCCCTGGTGCACACCTTCCCTGGGGGAGGAGGGCTTCCTAGGGTGGGCTTGGGCTTCAGGACCATATGCCCTTCACTAGTTCAGGGGCAGACGAGGGCTTTGGAGCACTCGTGGGTGTGCTGGGGCTGTCCCCTCTTTGGCAGACCCCTTCTGGTGGTGTGATGGGCAGAATGCTTGCTCCCTGGGGGGAGCTGGGTGGCTGGCCAGCAGGGGCTCCTCTGGGGCTGCGTCAGCAACGGGTTCTGGAGTGGGGTGCCTGTAGCCAGGGCTGACAGGCCCGGGCCTTGCCCCCTGTCTCTTTCAGATCTTGAGCAACGCAAGGTTGTTTCTGGAGAACCTCATCAAGTGAGTGCCTTCCCACCATCCCATGGGCAGCTGGGCCTAGGCCCTGCCCACAGCTCAGGCCCCACCCCCCATCCGCAGGTATGGCATCCTGGTGGACCCCATCCAGGTGGTGTCTCTGTTTCTGAGGGACCCTTACAGTTGGCCTGCCCTGTGTCTGCTCATTGGTGAGCTGGGCGCTGGGGAGGGGTTTGGGCTAGAGATGGTCACTCTGGTCCTGAACCTGCCCTTGGCCCTCTGTCCCCAGTGGCCAACGTCTTTGCTCTGGCCACACTCCAGGTTGAGAAACGTCTGGCAGTGGTAAGCAGTGCCCCTTACCCGCTTGCCTTGGTCCCCACCACCACTGTGGGGCTCTGAGCCAGGCCTTCATCCTGGGGAGGCCTCCAAAGGCACTGGGGGCCCTGGCTGAGCTCCTGCCCCCTCTGCCACAGGGGGCCTTGACAGAGCAGGTTGGGCTGCTGCTGCACGCGGCCAACCTGGCCACCATTCTCTGCCTGCCGGCAGCAGTCGCCTTCCTGGTGGACTCCATCACTCCGGGTACGCCCCTCCCTCTCCCTGTCTGTCCCGGCCAGCCCTGGCCCGCGCCCGGCCAGGGCCGCGCCTCCCTGGGAAGGGGCGTGCTGTGCACCGAGCCTGCCTCTCTCCTGCAGTGGGCTCCATGCTGGCGCTGTGGGTGTACACCATCCTCTTCCTTAAGCTTTTCTCCTATCGCGACGTCAACCTGTGGTGCCGCGAGCTCAGGGCCGGGGCCAGGGCTGGTGAGGGGCGGCCGGGGACTGGGGCCCGCACGGCCAAGCCCAGTCCGGAGGCTCTCCTCGGGGCCTCTTCAGACAAGCCAGCCAACGGGGCTGCCGCACAGCGTTCCGTGAGCTACCCGGACAACCTGACCTACGGAGGTGAGCACCCAGAGTGTGGGGCTTAAGGGAGGCAATGCCAAGGAGAAGGCGGGGTCCGGAGGGTGGGGCCAAGGTGAGGGGCGGCTCTGGAGGAGGACGGGCCTGGAGGGGCGGTGTCAAGCGGAAGGGGGCCCAGTGGTGGGGCTCAGGGAAAGGCTGGGCCCGGAGGGGCGGGGTCAAGAGGAAGGCGAGGCTAGGGGGCGGGGCCAGGCGGAAAGTGGACCCGGGGCGGTGGGGCTAAGGGAAAGGCGGGGCCCAGAGGGCCGGGGTCAGGCTGAGGACGGGGCCCGGAGGGTCTGGGGTCAGAGGGAAAGGTGGGGCCCGGAGGGGCGGGGTCAGAGGGAAAGGCTAGGCCCGCAGGGGCGGGGTCCAGGGAAAGGCGGGACCCGGAGGGGGCGGAGCTAAGGAATGAGCGCCACCCTGAGGGGCTGGGGTAGAGAGGGCAGCCGGGCGGGACCAGTCCAGTTGTCCTTGCAGATCTGTACTACTTCCTCTTTGCGCCGACCCTGTGTTACGAGCTCAACTTTCCTCGCTCTCCCCGGATCCGGAAACGCTTCCTCTTGCGGCGGCTCCTGGAGATGGTGAGGCGGGGCCGCGGGAGGTCGGGCGCACGCCCGGGAGGCGCTCAGCTGGCCTGCGGCTCAGCGGGTGCTCTGCTTCCCTCCTCAGCTCTTCCTCACGCAGCTCCAGGTGGGGCTGATCCAGCAGGTAAGGGGCAGGCGGCGGGAGGGCGGCGGCGGCGCGGCGCGGGCGAACTGACGCTGTGCCCCTGCTTTGCAGTGGATGGTCCCCACCATCCAGAACTCCATGAAGCCCTTCAAGGTGAGCGGCTGCCCTCCGGGGGCCGGGCGGTGGGCCGGCGGGCCGGCCGGCCGCGGCCAGCCCGCTGAGCCCTGTCTCCGCAGGACATGGACTACTCCCGCATCATTGAGCGCCTCCTGAAGCTGGCGGTGAGCGGCCTGGGCGGCGGTGGCGGGAGGAGCAGAGATGGGTGGGGGGCGTCCTGGGACCGACAGCTGTCTCCGCGCAGGTCCCCAACCACTTCATCTGGCTCATCTTCTTCTACTGGCTCTTCCACTCCTGCCTAAACGTCGTGGCGGAGCTCATGCGCTTTGGAGACCGGGAGTTCTACCGCGATTGGTGGTGGGTGGCCTGGGGTCGGCCTGGCGCAGGGACTAGCGGGCTGCGGGACGCGGGCACTCGTGTTCTCTCTTCCACCAGGAACTCCGAGTCGGTCAGCTACTTCTGGCAGAACTGGAACATCCCGGTCCACAAGTGGTGCATCAGGTGGGCTGATGCGCATGTGCTTGTCTGTGTGCGCGCGTGCGCACACATAGGCCCCATTCCACCGTGCTCCCCTCTCTCCATAGACACTTCTACAAGCCCATGCTGCGCTGCGGCGTGAGCAAGTGGGTGGCAAGGACAGGCGTGTTCCTGGCCTCGGCTTTCTTCCACGAGGTCAGCAGCACCGGACGTTGGCCCACCTGGTCTCTGGCGGCAGGGTGTGCCCTAGGGTGGGTGAGGCCCACTGACGCCTCTTCCCTCCCCCACCCCAGTACCTGGTGAGCATCCCTTTGCGCATGTTCCGACTCTGGGCCTTCACCGGCATGATGGTGCAGGTAAGCGGCCATGCCCAGCTGTGCCCCCCTTGCCCGCCCAGCCGCGGTGCCCTGGGCCGGGGAGGCCTGACTTGGCACGCCTGCCCCCAGATCCCGCTGGCCTGGGTCACCAGCCGCTTCTTCCTGGGCAACTACGGCAACGCGGTCGTGTGGCTGACACTGATCATCGGGCAGCCGGTGGCCGTGCTCATGTACGTCCACGATTACTATGTGCTGCACCACGAGGTCGCGCCTGCGGGCGCCTGAGCTGCGTGGCCGCCCAGTGCCTGCTCGCTGCCTGCCACCCGGAGCCTGTCCTCCCCCCGGGGTGCCGATGGGCGCCCGCTGCCCTCCTCCCTGCCAGGGGGTCCTCTCTGCCTCTGTGGGGTGCCATCCCCTCGGGGAGCGGACTGTCTAGCAGGGGCAGGCCCGGCCGCTGTTCTGTGCATCCGAAGGATTTTGCGGGAGGGGCTTGGGTGGTGAGCGTTAATAAAGAGCCGTTCAGAGTGCCTCCCGCGTCTGCAGGGGACCCGTGGTGGGAGGAGGGCCGGGGCTCCCCGATGCTGCGTGGCCAGCCAGGGGCCACAGAGCCAACCCTGCTTCACGACGCCCAGGACCGGCCTTGGCAGCCACACTGCCCCACCAGGCAAGCCCAGGACAGGGGCTCGGTGGGCTTCCCGGAAGTGGGTCTGCAGCCTGGGCAGATAGACTCTGTGAACCCTCCCACCTCCTGTTCTGAAGAATAGGGAATTCCCAGAGTGAAGACAACCCCCCACCCAAGCTCTCCCGTGGGCAGATGGGCTCACTTCCGGGCTGGCAACACCTTAACTCCAGATGCTGAGGGAGTTAGGTTCCAGGATGAGGCTTACCCCCTCATTTGGGACCAGGCCTGCCACCCACCCAGCTAGCTGTGGGACTGCCAAGAGGGAGGTGGGGACAGCCAAGTCCAGATACCCTGATCCTTCAGCTGTGGCTGGACAAGGCTTTTGGGAGGACTGGGTATGTACAGGCAATAGGTGGCCTTGAGAACTGGGCAGCCCTAGCCCCATTCTGTATCTTGAACTCAAGGTTCTCTGTACTCAGCCATGGAGGTGAGGAGTCCTCTCTCTCACCTAGTCCTGGCCACCCTCCTAGGGACAAACAGAATCCCTTCTGTGGCACAGCAGAGGCTGGCCTGCTAATCGCAGGGCCACTCTGGGCAGCCACCAACTTGGGCCATATCGGAGGGAATGGAGTTGGAAAGAGGTGCTGGGTAGGGATTCCTTGGCCTTAGGCCCCTTCACCCCCATGGGCCTCCCCTGTCCTCAGGTGGAGTGATGTCAGGGCCTGGAGGGCAGGGCAGCACAAATGTTCCCCCTTCTCTGGCCAGACCCCATGGAAACCCAAGGGAGTGGGGGCTGTGTGTCCCAGCTGCTGTCTCTGGCCCTGATGGAGGGGAGTCCTGGGGCTGGACCCCCCATGGAAGCCTGTTCAGTGCTCTCAGTAAAGACCCTGGACAAATACCACCTGGCTATCTGGTGGCTCAGTGGGCAGTGGGCCCCTCCCCACCGTGGCGAGAGGAAGCAACGGACGGGAGGCCTCCAGCATATAGCATATCCGTTTATAGATCTCTGTGCGTCCCGGTGTGGGACAGCTGCAAATCTCTATAGAAGGGGAGGTGGGACTTCTCGTGTAAAAATCCAAAATACAACTCTAACAACCGGAGGGGCCGGGCTGAAGGGTGACTGAACCCCCACCAGACCGTGGGGTCACAAGGCTGGAAGGGAAGGCACAGGCTGGGCAGGCCCTGAGGCGGCTCGCCCCAACTGGCGGCACTGCCACGTGGCTGCTCCCGGCCAGACGCCACAACTCCTCTTTCTGCCTGTGGGCCCTAACGGCCCTGGTCCTCGCCCCAAAGCCAGCCCTGAGCTGAGAGGGTGGGTGGCCCCACCTGGCTCCTCCTGGGGCTTCTAGGAGACAGTAGGGTCCTTGGCTTTGGGGGGCTCAGAGCCTGTCAGCAGGGAGATGGTGGGGTCCTCGGCGTAGTCATCCCCCTCGGAGAAATAGGAGCCTTCCCCCAGCTCGAAGAGCACGGGGAGGTCGCTGCCCCCCATGTCCACTGGCCCAGGGTCCACCAGGAACAGGGGCTGTGCTGTGTAATGTACCAGCTGCTTCCCTGTGGGGAGGGGAGGGGGGCTGTGGGTCAGGGCGGGCTGGGCAGGGCTGGGCCGGCCGGATGGCAGAGGGGCGGGCTCACCTGAGTCTGGCCCACTGCTCTCCTCCTCGAGGGGCCTGGGCGGCTCCTGGGGCGTGAGGAGTTCCTGGATCTGCCGGTGCCGGGAGGGGCGCATGAGGGTCCCTGCCCCCCATCTCCCCCACCCTGCCCTGCCCGCCCCACCCCGCCCCACCCCACGCACACTGGCCAGGCTGCTGTCCAAGTCGGGCAAGCTCATGTCCGGCACAGTCACAGAGGGGCTGAACAGCTGCAGGAGAAGAGCAGTTAGGTGGCCTGTGCCTGTGCCGGGCCAGGCCAGGGCGGGGGCAGGCACTCACGTCCATCAAGGCGCTGGTGTCCACACTGAAGCCGTGGCTGGTCAGCATGGTCTGCAGGTTGTCCAGGTTGGAGTCCATGGCATCCAGGTGGTCACTGAGCTCGTTCCTGGCCCGGGTGAGCAGGGGAGGGGTGGATGAAGCGCAGCCCAAGCCCCTGGGCCAGCCCTCCTCAGTGCTCGGCCTCCCTTGCCACAGCAGCCTGCTGGCTTGGGCGGATGGACCCCGGTGGGCAGTGCGCTCTGGGAATGCCCCCCTGTGGGGGCGGGGCAGCATGTAGCAGACCCACCCGTCACCATGAGGCCTGCAGGTCTCTCGGTGGTTTTGCTCGGGGACAGGCTGCACAAAGCCTAGTCTTTGCATTCGGGACAGGGCAGGGGACCACGAGGAGCTATGTGAGGTAGGGGTTGTGGCTGCCCCAGCCCATAGCAGGGGCATGCCTCCCAGCACTAGAGCCGATCAAGGGCGCCTGGGGGGTAGGGCCTGTCCCGGCATAGCAGTGACTTGAGCTGCTGGCTCCCGTCCAGCAGTCAGTGCGGATGCAGACCCAAAGCCGCTCCCTCAGTAGAGGGCCTAGGATGCCTGCCCTCCACCGGGCAGGGCCCGGTGCCTGAGCACCAGCCGCACTCTGGGGAGGGAGGACCGGAGCTCCGGCTGAGCCCTCCTCCCTCCTGGGGGGGGCAGCGCTAACCCTGGCTGGACTCGGCCATGCAGAGAGGAAGAGGAGGGGCAGGGGAAGAGGCGAGCGACCCCAGACATCTGTGGAGTGCGAGCCCAACTGCAAGATACAAAGACAAGAGCCCCCAATTGCAGGGGCCCGGCAGCTCTACCCCACCCTCGATCACCCAGCCGGGGGCAGCTGGGGCAAGGCCAGCCCGCTCACCATCTCCTGCCCGGACTAGGGCCAGGCCGGGCAGCACGCAAAGGCGAGGACCCGAGGGAGGGCCTGTCTTGGGGCAGCCTGCCACACCCCAGCTCCTGCTCAACGGGGACTGGCTGATCTGGTTAGTGTCCGCTCCCTCCTCGGCCACAAGCTCCAAGGCTGGTGCGGCCTGAGGCTGTGCGGGTGTCCAGGCCCAGGACATCCTGCTGGTACCACCTCCCCTGCTCCCGGGGGCTGACTGGTAGGGACGGGGGCACTCACTTGTCCAGGCAGGCCACGCTGAGGCACTTCTCTGGGGCTGAGGCAGGCAGGGGTGTGGGGTCCCCATCGTGCGTGGGCTGGGTGGCCGAGGGGGCGGTGGCGGGCTCACTTTCCCGCAGGATGGAGTCGATGAGGGCGGTCGGGGACAGGGGTGTCTCCCCCTCAGAGGAAGGCTGCTCAGGGCTCACCTCCTCCACATGGGGACTCTGAGGGGGGCTGGGAGGCTCCTCCTTGACGCATACCCGGGGGCTGCTTGACAGGGGCCTGGATGGACACAGGGGCACCCAAAGTAGGGGTGTGCGGTCAGCAAGTCTTCCCGGCCCCAGACCCACCCACCTGAGGCCAGCAGGGGATGGCTGGGGATTGGGACGTGGCCTCCACCTCTCATCAATGCTTCCGCCTGAGGAGGCTGAGGGGCTGGCTGGGGCGAGCTCGGTGATGTCGGAGATGATGGGGCCGGAGCCAGCCATGGCATCTGGGGAGAAGAGGCTGGAGCTGCTGTAGGTGGGGGACGAGGCCTGCAAGGGAAGCCAGTGGCTGCACACATAGCAGGGGCAGCCCTGCTGGCCCATCCAGCCAGCACACCCGGCCTGTCCCGCACCCACCCGCTGGCGAGGCCCGGTGCTCACTGTGAACGGGGCCGTGCCGTGCACGTGCTCCAGAGAGTACTGCCGGCCGTACTTGGGCATGGGGTGGGCCGAGCCGCTGTCGCTCAGCATCAGGGGGCTGCAGGGGAGGGGTGGTTAGTGAGGGCCTGCACCCTGGGGCCCGTCCAGGGGCAGGGTCCCAAGCCTCACATCTTTCTCTTCACCCCCAGGATCCGGTTTGACTGCACCAGGGAGATGAGGAACTGGATAAGCTGTGGGCAGAGAGGACCTGGTCACTGGACTGCCCGCCACAGCCTGTCCCAGCTGCCACCGCCTGCCCGCCACCACCCCTCCCAGCTGCCACCACCCCGCACCTTGTTGACGACTTTCTGCTGCTGGGCATGCTTCTGCCGCAGGCTGGCCACCTCCCTCCACAGAGCCTCGTTTTCACTGCAAGGACCCAGGCTCAGTGAGGCCCCAGCTCGCTCAGCCAGGCTGCAGGGGATGGGTTTCAGGGGCCTTGTGTGGTCTGAGCCTGGCTCCTCCCCCCACCATGCCACGAGGGCAGGCATCTGATGGAGCTGGGTGGGGGGTTGGCTTGTTCCTGCTGGCATGAGGATGGCCACCTGATAAGGCTGGGCGGAGGGGCCTGCTGGCTGTGCCACACTTCAAGGTGAGGAGGTGGCACGATGGACCAACTGGGGTGGGCCCCTTGCTTGGGGTTCCCGGGGGAGGCCTTGGGCAGAGGAGGACTCAGGTTAGGGCCGGCAGGTGAGCTTGCAGGGGGCCTTGTGGTCCCAGGATGGCGGTGGCAGTGCCCTGGGCTTCCGCCCCCCCACCCCAGCTGAGGGACCTACTGCTTCATGGCCCTTCTG